TCTTTGATATAGCTGTAATTTTTTAAAAAAAATGTGAGTCATGTAGAGTAATCTAGGAAAAGGGGGACAGGAGACATCATAACATAATCATTCTTAAAGACAATATTCAACATATCCTCACCTCAGTTGCTTCCTGCATGTAATTTTGTTACAACTCCTGTTTGTAGTGGGTCTTCTTAAGAATGCCAGGCCGGAATTCAACCTGTGGATTACCAAAAGTGGGGAACTGCAGAGACCCAAGTACAGCAGCTCTCCAGTGTTAAGGAGAGAGAGGTTGGCAGCTTGGGACTCTTCAAAGGTCTTCACAAAAGTGGCAGAGCTCAACTATCAAGAAGGGCCAGGTTCAGATTCCCATGAGGTTACATTAAGTGAGTCCTTCTTGCTCAGCATGACATGCCTTCACAGAACTTTTTTTATGATAAAGTGGGAATAAGGAAAGTTCTGCGTGCCCTGCCTTGGCTTATTGGGGGAAAAGGTTGCGTATAAAAATAAGTACAGTGGGGTCTTGACTTGAGAACTTAATCCGTATTGGAAGGCGGTTCTCAAGTCAAAATGTTCTCAAGTCAAATCTGCATTTCCCATAGAGGTTCAGATTCCCATGAGGTTACATTAAGTGAGTCCTTCTTGCTCAGCATGACATGCCTTCACAGAACTTTTTTTATGATAAAGTGGGAATAAGGAAAGTTCTGCGTGCCCTGCCTTGGCTTATTGGGGGAAAAGGTTGCATATAAAAATAAGTAATTAGTAAATACTAATAAATAAACATCCATCAAAATTCCAGTTAAGTAACAAGTATGTACAGTAGATGCATATTTAAAACCTGTGGTTTCATTTGGAAGTGAATCTGTAAAAATGAAAAGCAGTAAAATTATAAATGGGATTTTTTGCCTCCACTCAGGTAAGGCTTTTGGTTTAGTAATAAAAAATAAATTTAAACATCAGTTCAAAATTACCTTAATAGTGACAAGCACCCTTCTTCAAAATAAATTTAATCAAATTAGATTGCTTAGTTTATTAATGTTTATTAACATTAGGTACTAACCCTTTCCCATTAAACATTTCCCAACGAATTCTTTCACCTTGCAAACAAAGCTGTGCCCCAAGATTAGAGGTAGGGTGTTGGAATTCTGGGGAGCCCTCTTAGATTGTTTATAACAGCATAGTATTACAGAATTGTAGAGCAGGAAGGTATCCCAAGGACCACTGAGTGCGATCCCCTGCCAAAGCAGGAAATCCACAATTAGAGAATCCCTGACAGATGGGCATCCGGCTGTTCAAAAATTTCCAGAGTCCACTGTCAGACCTTCAAGTGCCCAAGATAAGTCTAATCAATCCTACTGAACCTTATCCCTTCCTCCTTATTCACAGGAGAACAAATAATGCTGCCAGACACTGCCTTCAATGTACAGTGGTGCCTCGCAAGACGAGTGCCCTGTTTAACGACGAAACCGCATTATGACGAACTTTTTGCGATCGCAAAAGCAATCACTTTACGATGGTCTGAATGGGGTTTTTTCGCTTTGCAATGATCGGTTTCCTTCTTCGGGAACCGATTCTCGCAAAACGATGATTTTCGGCCAGCTGATCAGCTGTTTCAAAATGGCCGCTGGGTAAAACAAAAAAAGGGCTCCCTGCTCTTTTCTGAGATGGATTCCTTGCTGCATGGGCAGCAAAAATGGCTGCGCTATGAAGGGTCTTCGCTGGACAGTGAGTTTCAAGCCCATAGGAACGCATTAATCGGGTTTTAATGCGTTTCTATGGGCTTTTTAATTTCGCATTATGAAGTTTTCGTTCTACAGCGATTTCGCTGGAATGAATTAACGTTGTAATGCGAGGCACCACTGTATTACAAATTGTTATGAAGCTCTGGGTAGAGACATTTTCTTCATTCAGATTAGTTTTGTGATGGGGCTGTTTTTTTTGCCATCCCTAACATTCCCAAGAAGACCGATCACGAGACAGGAATTGAGCAATAGGCTGCACAGATGGTGTCTTTGAGAAAGTTGGGCTCCTTGGATTGCGATCTGAGTTTCTTTGAAGAAGTTCTCCTTGCAACTTACAGGGATTTGGAAGAACTTGTCTGGGAAGAAGTAGTTTAGCAAACCTAGTCAGGAGGCCTTTAAGCTGCATCCTATCAAGGAAGGAGATAGTTTTCTAGAACATAGGGAAGCACCCAGTACTGATGTGGGACTGGGCCAAGGATTTCTCTTGAAAATCTTAAAATCTGAGGAGGTGTATGAGGAGAGATATAGTCTTTCCCATGTTTTAATCTAATGTACACCTTTCTGTATATTGACGGTTTGTGTTCATTTTTAATCATTAGGGCTTATTAACAGCTATGAGGAGAAGCCTGCTCTCAACTTGCAAGGTGCTTTCTTTAGTGATGTTCTGGAATATAGTGGAAGGCATTGAAATTGAATGATCAGGAAAGTTGGGTAATAAAGATTCAGATGAGAAGAATTCCAGTGTGTTTAGGCAGTGATATATTAACTTCTCATGCCAGAAGGATTCAAAAGATAAAAGGGGGGTGGGTGGGTAATGAGAATGTGTTCCCAAACCTGCAAGGAAATGGGAAGACTTTTCTGATTCACTGCCTTAACTTGTGTGCTTTTATCTTTTCAATTTTCCTGTAGGGATTATATATAATTTTATCTCTAAATGGCTTCTGTTGTGTGAAAAGGGCGGTCCTGTTGACAATGGTCTAATCTGTTTGTTTTTGTGAGACCGTTTTTTCCCCCCTTTGGCTTTTATGCTTTAGCTGTTAGCCTATTTATAAATCTAAATCTACATACAGAGGTCATTGGTTGGCTGAACTTAAAACCATTTTGCTCAGTAAATTTAATTAAGAAAATACAGTGCAACTCATAAGCAAATGAGTTTTTCCTACTTTTAAACCAAACCATCCTCTTGAGTGTTGATTGCCTTGCTCGACCCCTGGTGCTACTGAAACAGGCAAAATTAAAAAGGACATTAAAGCTTCATTAAATCTGAAACACATTTAGTACAGTGACATATCTGCAGGCTATTTCAGGGAAGATTACAGATTCTTTTGTGAGTTTCTTAATTTATAATACCTTGACAATTCTGAACAGGGGGAAAGACTTGGCACGGTCCAATAAAAAAATGGTGCTGGAGTTGCTAGATTCTGTTTCTGGCTGCTGGAATACTGTTGGCATGTGTGGGATTGCCTGTTCATTGATGAAACAAATCTTGATGCTAGCTGTTATTAAATTTCTTATATTCAAGACTTGTACATATCTTGTATGCAAAAACAAGAATTCTTATATCAGTGAGACAGTCCTGTTGAAAGAATAAATTGTATTTACAGAAATGTGCTTAATTTTTGGAAATAAATAACATGTGTGTTAATTTGCATGATAGTATTCTTGTTTCTGTAGTTTGATTTTTGCAGTTTATATGTAGGAATATGCAGGCATCTACCTTCCTTCAGTTCACACTTTCAATGAACAAGTGAAATACAAAAAGATTGCCAGAATCCAGTTGCATATTTACACTGGCGTAACAACATCAGTGTAACTTTCAACAGCAGGTTCCTGAAAAATAAATTGTCAATATAAGCATTTCATTATTGCACTGCATTACCATAACTTTCAGCAGTGAAGTGCTGTCAGTTAAGAAGTCAGTGTAGACATTTGCTATTGTACACCAAGTCACACAGCTGGAGCATGACAGGAAATATCTATGCTGATTTGCAACAATGTGCCACTGACAGTTACTCCAATGGAATTACGCTTAAAGGTGTAACTGACAGGATTCTGGCCATTGTTTTATAAAATAAATAAACTGGCATCCCTACTCATCATAGCCTAAATCCAATTGGGAGTTTCCATAATTGTAGGATTTACTTAGCAGTTGACTTACTGTTTAGCAATTGATCCAGTAGGTTTACTCAGTTGGGAACTAGCAATTTTAGTATATATCCCTTAGAATCAGGACAGATTGAAATAACAAAGTAAGATAGACTCCGGAATGACTTTACAAAGGCTATCCAATGAACTATTTGAATTTAAAATACGCTTGCATGCAGCTAGCATCTAAAAGCTCTGCAAGCATCTGTAGAACGGCATCAGTAGAGTATAACGTGCAACTTGTTGGGAATAATTGGGAAGATAAAACAGACTTGCTAAGAAAGACGCAGCCCAAGCCCATGATAACTGTCTGAATTACTCTATTTCTGCTACAAGAACTGATGGTGGTGGAACCAGGAGATATAGAGAGGACCGGAATTATCCCCCAGAGATATAGAGGGGAACCAGATATATGGAGGGGGCTGGAAATATCTACCATAGAGGGAACAATTGCATATATTGGTGGTGTTGTCTTTTTTTTTTAAGTATTCTTCCATTAGATAAGTGGTAAGATAAATGTTTTCTCATCCTTTCAGTGAATGTGTGTGTGTACAGTGAAGGTTCTAATCTATTTTAATGATTGAAAACAAGGCACCAGAGGGCTTGTGATTCTTCCACACTGTATGAGTTAATGTGGAGTGTTGTGCAATGGTTGGTGTTCTTTATGACTCGAAAGACTCTAAGGTGTGACCTCTTTTCTCAGCATTTTGTCCATTCCCTGCTATTTGAACACATTCCATACAATGCCTGTGTTTCCTGATTCTTGTGATTTTCTTTTTTCATCCAAGTATTTGAAAGTCTTAACCATCTAAATAGATAATGTAAATTATCTCCAAATATTTTTTTCACAGTTTATTTATGTATACAGAAGTTGAGTTCAGAGGTGGACAGACAGGCAGTGGACTGTAGACTTTTTCTTTATGAGTGTTTGTTCTAAATACAGTATTTCCCCTTGTTTAAAAATTATTTTTGCTTCAGTGTCTTCTTCTATCTGTATACTGTATTTTAGCCCTCAATATTGTTTTTAAAGATATACTTCCCCTGAAAATCTCTTCTTCCTCTCACTATTTCCCTCTGCTGAACCCCTAATGCAAATCTCTCTAACTAGACAAATATTATTTCCTTTCCCAGCTTGCTCTCGGGAGGTTCCCATATCCTCAGGTAAGAATGTTCATTATCATTGCCTGCTTCTGTGGTGTTCATTCCTATGTATGAAGTTACAGAGAGCAGTTGTGAGCCTTGTAACTAGATTCATATCAACCTTCCCTGTTAAATGAAAACGTTATATCTCCAGAGCTATCCATTTGGTCCTGTTTTTAAACTCAGGAATTATTTTATATATTTGAGAGACCTCTAAATGTGTTTGTTGATGGCGTATGGAGAATATGAAGTCTATGATTACTCTGGTTCATTGGGCAGAATTGTATGGCAATTGCTACCTTTTGTTATTTGAATATTAAAACTGAGATTTTAATTTTGAAAAATATGCTTAGCCTGGCAGTTGAAATCAGGATTGACTTTAGGTAGGATCTAAAACTTTTTATTTTATATAGATTTGTTTTAAAGAAGCTATACCATGTTGTTGGCGTAAAGTTATAGTTGCTAATTTTGTTCATCCGAGAATCTGCTTTTGTTGTTGCTGCTGCATGCTGCTGACAGCCAGATTCCTGATCAGATTCCGTTCTCATAGTTTGGTAGTACAGGTGTTCCCATTCATGAATGGGGGAGAAAAACAGCATTTCCCTGTGCCAGGAAGAATCTAGTTTTCTTTGCTTGCCGAAGTGCACAGTTAAAGTCAAGCAGTAGTTATCACTATTCACTCCCTAAAAGGAAAAAAATCCTATCTCATGGCAAGCACAGAACGATCTGAATAAGAGTATTTTGTCCACACTGTTCATTTTAAAATGGTACACCAATCATTGGAAAGTGTTTAGAAACTTTGGTGGGTCTAAAATACTGCTGCCAGATTGTTAACTGGAGCTGGTTATAGGGATCGTATAACTCCCCTGTTATAATAGCTCCACTGGCTGCTGATCCATTTCTGGGCACAATTCTGAGCACTAGCTTTGACCTATAAAACCTTAAACAACTGGAGTCCAAGGTACCTGAAACACCTCATCTCACTTTATGAGGTTGCTTGGGTTTTCAAATTATCGGAGGAGGCTTCTTTCTCCTGGCCCCACTTCTTCACAGAAGTGTTTGGTGAGGACATGAGAGAGGGCCGTCTCTATTGTTGATCTCAATCAGTGGATTCCTTCCTCCACTAGTTTTAATTTAATATCTGTTTAATTATTTTAAAATGTAATAATGTATTGTTTTTCAGCTTTTAATATTATTGGTTTAATATTGTAACCCACCTGGTCCTCTTGAAGAGACGGGCGGGGCAAAAATTTTAAACCTAAGTAGCAATTAAAGTATTTGCACTTAAAAAGCGCTGACCTGTATCAAACTTGTGCTAACCTGCTTTTACTGAGAACTTGTCTAACTTTTCTAAAAAGAGTTTTGTTGATAACTCAAGTCTAGATCTTCTGAGCCACTCATAGGTTCTTGTATCTGTGTATCATGGGGTAAGAACGAATCCATGCAATGGAGTGAGCGCCCATCGCTTGTCCGAGCTCCTGCCAACCTAGCAGTTCGAAAGCATGCAAATGCAAGTAGATAAATAGGGACCACCTCGGTGGGAAGGTAACAGCGTTCCGTGTCTAAGTCACACTGGCCATGTGACCACGGAAGATTGTCTTCGGGCAAAACGCTGGCTCTGTGGCTTGGAAACGGGGATGAGCACCGCCCCCTAGAGTCGAACATGACTGGACAAAAATTGTCAAGGGGAACCTTTACCTTTACCTTTATCATGGGGTAGTTACAAATTCCATTGTGCTAGAAAAGAATCTTTCAAGCATAATCTAGTAGCAAATGTGTGCATAGTTGAGCTGTCAGTGCAGGTTAGAAATGTTTTCCCCTCTAGAATAATTACATGAAAATTTATTTGATGTTCTCTCTCTCTCTGTTTCTTGGTCTCTTTCTTTATCAACATGGAATACAATCCACCAGACATGTTGCCTATTCACTGAAATAAATGGGAGCCATGCAGAAGCATTTAGGAACTTTTGCACAACTCTGTGATTTCCATGGTCCATAAGCAGGAGCCATTCTCTGGTGGATTGTGCCCACTTTTCCTGATGCCTTGGTTGATACAGGCCAAAGCGCCTAGGGGCATGTCTGATTTTAAAGCTAGTGTTAGTCTGTGCTCTTTAAGCATCTATTAACTTGTTATTATCATGCAAATAACATTGACTAATTTATGCATGGTTAGATTATGCAGATGTCTCACCACTGTGATTATTGAGTAATAGGAAGGGATTTGGTTTCTTCTTTGTGTTTAGCAACATTTTTCAGAATTAAACTCTTCTGACATTTTTAAAGACTTTAAAAATACAACAGATGTTTCCGTGCTTGCCCTTAATGTTACTGTTCATACTGTTTCTGGTTCAAGTAGTATGAACCAAGAAGTATTTACATATTTAAACAGGTGGAGTCTAATGCACATTAAGTTAATTACGTAGCAACACCATGTCATTTTTAACTATAGCATTGTCAGACTTGATCCTGTGGACCCAGGTCCAATTTATAGTGCAGGTGTAACTTGGGTAGTGGGATTGCTATGCATGTTTCACAACCTAGGTGTACATTCAGTTTTGGGAGCACTCTCCAAAATACATAAGCTAACATAGCTGGTTTATACAGGGAGAGAGAGGTATATTTCATGGTGTGTTGAATGTGCAGTTTAGACATAGAAGAGTATGAATAAGTGGGAAAAATGAAAACTTTCCAGAGTCAAGGTGATCAAGAGAGTTCAAGACTGAGGTGCTGTCTGCAGTTGAAGCAATAGAAAAAACTGGAGGACATTTTATCCCCATTCCTATCAGTCTCTCCCAACAACCATTGTTAACAAAGGAAGGACTTAAGCCTTCTTTGGAAAACAGCAAATTCCTTCAACTGCATCTGTTTGCTTGTTGTAGAACCATGTGTGTTTAAGTCTCAAGATTGCCTTAAACTGCGAGAGCTTGTTAACTTTGAGCCAGTGACTCAGTTGTGGCGATCAGAGTGATACTTTCATACAGAAGCAGACTGGTTGACTAAGCCAATATTGCCCGTCACTCATGACCTGATCCATTTGTCAGTAGTTTGAAGCCAATGGAATTCTCACAGAATGGGATACTCCTTGCCGCTTTATTTGGTAGCATATTCATGTGTATCCTTCAGTTACCTGTTGTTCACTGCATCAGGATTAGTCCAGCCACCTCCGTTATTCTCAAATTGATGCAAGTGACCTCAGAGATTTGGGGATTAAAATAGCATGGACATCTTTAATTAGCAATAGTTTATCTCCTTCTTCATCTGAAATATTTCACAACTGTGCTGAATGTAAATAAAATCCCATGGGTTTCAGCAGGGGCATAACAGATTCCTAGTGAAAATTTTCTTATTTAATTTTTTTTAATCTTTTGTACCATTTGCACCTAAATGCAGCTGTTTATACAGGTCATGTTTTCCAGAAAACTAAGTGCTTTTAGGATTTTATTTTTGATGAATTGTGATTTATGTTAGGAGGTTTTCATGTGCCATTGAGTTGCAAATGTGTCAGTTTGCAGATAAAACATTTAAATATTATGATGATTAGGCCAGGCACTGCTGTTTCCAGGTGTTTGCATAAGCTAACTACTGTTTGATAAATCCATGAAATTCTTGTTTTTCTTCATATTCTTATTAACCTTTAATTGTGATAATTGTCGCTTGTCACAAAGCCAGCACTTTTTAATTTGCTGCTAAGGAAAAGAAATTTTAGGAAAATGCGTTACCATTTTCAGAATTCTTAACTCTTTAGAAAGAAAACACCTATATTGTTTTCTATTAATTGATTAAATTTAAAGGAACATTTTGTTGTGACGCATGTATCAACACTACTCAAACTGGATTGAAATATGTGTCGTAAGTGTATTCCACAGTATTTTTCTGTGTATGCCAATACTAAGTCAAAACATTCATTCCCAAAGCTGCATTTAACTATGTAATTGTGTGTTAGTTTATCTTTCAGAAGTCATATATCACTTTAATGTGTATTTTGCAGCATTTTCCCATTTATATAGAAACAATTGTACATAGTAAAATGCACTATTGAAAGGCCCATAGATTGCAAGCTGGAACTCTTTGAAGGCACAAGAAGGAGTTTTTTTCCTTGCAAAAATATAGATTGTCCTGATTAAATTGAAGCATAACAGAGGGCAATGACATGTTTTACAGTTGTGAAATTGCAGAGAAATGCCAAGAGCTGCCCCTGTCAAATAGTCTCTGCTTGTGTTCATATGCTTGAGTGTTGGGGGCTCGACAAATATGCTAGGGTGCATTTTAAGGCAACTCTACTTCTTGACTACCACAAGATTCTGACAAAGGTATTTAATGTAGTCCACACGGATCTGGCTTAAAATTCCTTTCCCTGGTTTTGGATACACTTGCAGATCTTTGTTAATAAATTACATCAAAATGACTTGAAGTTTAGAAGGGAGGATGCTAGTCCCCATTCTTTAAAAAAAAACACTCTGAGCAAATAGTGCCCCTGGTATTGTAAAGCTTTGAATGTTTTCACACCCCATTAATTTATTACTTCTTCTTCATCTTTAAATTTCATTTTTTTTTTCAAAAAAAAGAAAAAACCTCTAGCTCCCTGCTGCTTGCGAGATTTCCATCTTGTTGTTAATTTTCTCTGCTCCATATGGAGCACCAGACATTTCACCTGGAGGCTGTACTAGATTTTTCTGTAGTGATCGCACTTCCGGAGGGGCAAAACTGTCATTTCAGGTTCCTGGTGCATCTGTCTGTGCCAGCCTTCTCTCTCCCCCTCCCCTTTCCACTGGCACAGGAGAGTGTGAATAACAAATTGGGTGCACCTGAGGTTTGGAGGATGGTGGTGTGGTGTGTGTATGTTTGTGTGCTGGATCTCTGCACCTTGGAAGCAGTTTCTGCAGGGCCACGAAGATCTCAACCGCGCTTGGCGTGGGCGCATTTGCACTCCCACTTCCCATTTGGACTTGTCTGAGGGAGCACAACCCTGAACATAGGCAAGCAGAGAGAGAGGTGGGGGAGAGAGAGGAGTAAATATTTCA